ATACTGAAATTTGCTCAACCTCACAAACGAATAGAAATGAGCTGATGTCCGGGTTACACTGACTCTATACCTGGTTTCCTTCCGCCCTATGAGTTTCTCAGAAATGTTTGGTGAATGAACACAGAATTAAAAGGAAACTTCAAAAGATGCCCTTTTATTTCACGTTCATGATCCTAAAATACTACCCTCTGGATCAGGAAAATTTCCTTGAGGTCACTCTGTCTTCCTTCCCTGTAGGAAGACTCAAGGCCAAAAACAGAGACTAGATATCACAAAAGAGAAGTATATGTCTAGAAATAAACTGAGCATTTGTAGGAGGATGAACTAATTTGAACATAAGAAACTGTTAATAACACTGCAGATCACTGCTGGTGTAGTGGTGGACACCTGTAATTCCATCTCCTTTGGAGAAAGAGCAGTATGAAGTCCCCATGGGCCTACATAAAGAGTTCAAGGCCAGCCTGGCCAATTTATCAAGGCTCTGTCTCAAAAGGCCGTGGGTTCAGTCCCTTGAAAAAATTCACATTGGTATCCATTATTTTAGAAGTCCTTGGGAGACAATAACAGTATGAAACTATATAGACTGTTAATGTGAATTTGCAGGTAGTTTCTGACTTTATGAGGTTTTGCACCGTACACTGGGCTGCCTTCAGTCAACGCTTGCTTCCTGTAGAAAGAACAGTAGTTCTAGCAATGTGTTTACTACAGTGAAAACGAATGAACAGAAGCATGTTCTTCCCATCCACTTCATTCAGTTGCCCTCACTCTGGCTTAGATGGATGTAAGTGCAGTACACACAGGAGTAGAAAGCAGTTAGGATTACTTCATTACAGTTTAATGTGAGTCACTTTGATAAACTCTCATCTGTGCCCTTTGACTCCCACCGAACTCTGATTTTTCCACCAAAAGTACACTTTTGTGCTTCGGGTGACACAGCACATTCAGGCTGACCTGGGCCCAGGGCTGTGAAAGGTTGCAACTGTTCAAGCTCAGATGGGGTCAGGTCACGAAGCCTGGAATGCCAGCCAAGAACATTTGTGTCCAGTATTTCTTCTTGCCCAGGCATTTTATTTTTGGGGGGTGGGGGTATTTGCATCAGTGCAGACTATTTTTATTTCTTTACTACATTTCCTTTTGCTTTAAGAAGGGAGAAGGATATGGAATAATTGCTTTTGTATTGACAACTAGACAGCCTTCATTCAACGGGGTCCAGAATTACAGTTTTAGTTCTCCACTAAAAGAAGTCAAAGAAATGCTTGCAGAGAAATCAGTCCTGTTTCCACTGTGTGTGTGTGTGTGTGTGTGTGTGTGTGTGTGTGTGTGTAATCTCTCTGGAGTACAATCAGAGAAGTCCTACTGGCAAAGAAGAAAGCCTCGGTTATCACAAGCCTTCCCAAAGCATTCTACGGTCTTTTTAGCTGGGGAAAATCCAAGAGAAAAATGATGTGGACAGCTGACAGGCAGCATCCCTCTGAAGCCTGCAGCTACCTGCTGTACCTGCCTGGAACCGGCGGGGCGCAGCGGCTCAGGCCAGGAACCCCAGAGGACGCCCAGGTGTCTCAGGCCCTTCTTCTGCCAGGCCAAGCCAGCGCAGCCCTTGGGCCCAGACACATGTCTCCCTGCGTCCACCTTTCCTTGGGCCTCCGCCTCCGCTGTGCTTCCTGGGACAGAAACAGAGGCGTCTTCCCTTCCTCCCTGGCTCAGCTAGCCCAATCCCCTGCTCAAGGCGAAGCCATTCCCTCACACGCACCTGTCCCCACCTGCATCTGCATCTGTTGCAACCTCAGCACCCCTGGGCGCTCAGTGCCGGGGTGAGGTGCTGGCCAGGGGCGCCCGGGGACGCACGCCTGGCAGGACCCCGCCCCGCGGTCTCCAGGGCCAGAGGCGAGGGCGGCGGGCGAGGCTGGAGCTCCGGCAGCTGGTGGCGGGAACGCGGCGATCCCAAGTCCCCAGGATCCCTGCACCCTGCGCCTCCCTCCCTGAGGCCACAGCGCCGGGATTTTTGTCTATATAAGGGCTCGCCGGCGGACGCCGCTGGCTCCCGGCTGCACGTCTCGGGCCCACGCGTACGGTCCCTCGGGCCTTCCTCCCGCGTCCTCCCCGGGAGCACTACCTTTACCTGGCTCTCGCACCCGATGGGCACCGCCGCTCTCGGGTCCCCCCGCCCGGTGGCAGCCGCTTCGCCTCGCTGTCGCCCGGTGAATGGAATTATTTATTTATTTATGTCCCCTGACGTGTCCTCGCCGGGAGGAGGGGGAGGGCGGGAAGGGAGGCGGGTGCGAGCGCCCTGGTGGGTGCCCGGGAGCGCGCCCTATGGGTGCTGGGGAGAGAGGGGGGCGCAGGCTGGGGGGCGCGGGCACCTATGCGCATTGAGCATGCTCCAGCTCTGCCGGTGCTGCAGGCTCTGCATGTGGCTGGGGCGCTCCACTTCGGATTTTAGTTCTAACCTAGAGAGATCTCTCGTTGCAGGGCAGTGGAAACACGCTGGCAGCGGAGCTGTAGGCATCCAGCCTAACCAGCAGGTGTGGTGTAGCATGAGAAGGCCTGGGTTGTGATGCAGAGCGGAGCAGGTACTCATGATGGGCTAGCATGGAAGAGCCAGAGCTTTACTTGTTTGTATTTATCTATTTATTCACTCAGTGACGAACTTTTCCTGGAAATGAAAGCTGGCCAAATTCCCCATGGGAGAAAGGTGTGGAAGATTATGCCCCAGATCAAAACCTTAGTTATTTGGCAATGAATAATTCTAAATATAACAATAATGACAATAACATCATCATCATCATCATCATCATCATCATCATCATCATGACAGTAATTCCCCCAGTCTTGGCTATGTTTCTTCCCCTAACATACCCTCCTTGGGGAAGCTAGAAAGAGGAAGACACACAAAGGTTTAACCACCATCAAAGACTGGCTTTAATTTTTTTAAGCAGACTTTTTACTTGGAGTAAAACTATGTAAGAGAATAAACTCACACTTGGATTTGAGAACTTTGTTCCAGTTTTCTGTTATTAACTGGCCTTTTCTTTGATTTTACAATACTCCTATTAGAGGTATTCTAAAATTATTCACATTTTACAGTTCTGGAACAGGCACAGGAAGACAAAGTCACTTACATCAATTCTCGATGTTGCTTTATCTCAGCTAGTCAGTCTGCAGGTAGGGAAATAACTGAATTTCAATTTCTGCAGTTACAAAAGAGAAATGCTGTTTTCATAAAATTTAACTGAGATAATGAAGTACATGGAAGATAATTTGAGACCATTGTTTGGTGGCTATTAATAATTTCAGAACCCAATGAGTTGGCTATGTGGATAACAGTGCTAACCTCCAAGCCTGAGGGCCCCAGTTCAATCACCAGAATCTACAGGGCAGAGGGAGAGAATTGATTCCTGCTGGTTGTCCTCTGACCTCCACAGTTCGAGCATGCACATACACATGATAAACTTTTAAAAGAAAGAACACAAAGACATCACAAAGTCATGTCATAGGTGTTTGCTATTAAGATTTTTCTTGCCCATTCATCATTTTTATTTCCATTCAAAGAAGTCTAAGAAAGCATAATCTGTACTCCCTTTTTCTTCTCTTGTAGTTTTGTTTTTTCCTTCTTTCTTCAATTTCATGTCCTTGGTCTTTTTAACTCATTGACAAACTCACAAACACTCAAAACGTTTTAGAATCTTAGCAAGCTTTCATTATAAGTACAGTTTCTCCAGTATTTAAATCTCTAAATTCAGCTGTGCCTCACACTGTGCAGCTGAGTCAGGAAGAGTACAAGTTCAAGGCCTGCCTGGGCTATGGAGTTAGTTTAAGGCTTTCTTGGTCAACTTTGTGAGCTACTGCCTCAAAATAAAAGGTTAAAAAAAAAAAGACTGAAGACGTAGTCTAATGGTAGACCCATTGTCTAGTGCAATACCCTGTGTTCAAGCCTCAGAACCAGAAACAAACAAACAAACAAAAGCCTCTAAATCTAATACGCAGCTCTCTAGGACTAATATTTAGGGATTCTTTCTGAATTACCTTACTGCTATAGCTAGGAAGATATGCCATGTATGTCAGTATTTAGTTGAAATTATACAGGAATCTGAAAGAAGACTTAAGTAAGAATGAATTCAGTTAACTAATACTATGCAATGCTATGATTTATTCATAAATTGAGAATAAAATACTATTTAGTGAAAAAAGAAATCATATGGTCAGAACCTAGAGTGTGAGGTTGAAAATCCCTCTTCATTTCTGTTCACTACTTGAGGCCACAGTGGAGGAAACAAATAAAAGACTCCATTCTAGCAACACATATTCCAGAAACAAACGAGTGTACATGCACATGATACATAAACTGATAGAGCCCACACATCTACATACCACAGCCGCCCACTGCAGGCTCTTTGTGTCTCCCTCATCCCTCGGTCAGGCCATAACTTCTCACATTCTTCTCTCTTTCCTTAGTCCTCACACTTTCTCCGTATAGAACTTATGTCATCCCCCGCCCCCTCAAAGTCCAGCAAGTAGGCCATCAACTCTGCACTATTTCAAGAATTCCTTACCAATTCATAAATTTTAATTGTGTCATTCTCTATGCTGTCTGATAGAATTTGGTTTATGCTTCTATTTGGGGTATTTTCTTACTGTCTCACAAGATGCCTAAAATGTTTGGATTTTTTTAAAAAAATCTATCTCCAAAAATATTGGGTAGCTTGAAAATGAAGATGCCATTTTATTTATTTCTGGAATTTTCTAGCACCTAGCACAAAGTGTGGCAGATCGAAGGTTATCAATGAGTCCGTATAGCAGAAAGAGAGCGATATGAATCCTCACAGCGGGTAGGTGGTAGAGGCTCTTGGTGAACACAGTACCTACCATCTACATGACTAACACTCTCTGACTTCCTTTACAATTATTTTGAGGGTGACTATCTCCTTCTAACTAATAAGTTTAGTGCTTGAAAATAAACATCTATGTTCTCCCCTGATAGACCCAACTCAAAATGAGTTTAAGTGGAGTATAACTGTGGGGTAAAGAAAGTTCAGGTTCCACACGCTCCCTTCACCCATCCTGTTCCCTGCCATGGTAGCAGGTTTCTGATAGATTAGCTAAAAAAAAAACTAAAGCATCAAGATCACTTGTGCAAACAGGTAACCCTCTGAGATTTTGAGATTTCAGGGCTTAAATCATAATGGCAAAATACTCAATGAACTACTAAACTTAAAACAATGTTCTATTGCATTCTTAAAGTTGAACACATAGTCTGACAATTCGTTTGTAATAATTTTTCACAAAAATGCTCTGTGAGACCAAAGTAAGTTGGTTTACTAAGGACAAAAGATCAACTACACACAAAATAGATTGCATTTAGCTAAAGACAAAAGATCAGCTACACACAATAGATGGGTTTTAACTAAGAACAAAAGATCAAATACCCCAATATCCCCCTGGACCAGAGTGAAAACAAATATGCACTTGCCGTTCAGTGGAGCATCCTGTGACTGAGATTACAGTGGAATCACAGCTGTGATTGTGATTGCTGTGACCTAGATACACAGGTTGTACAGATTGGTAAAAGGCATCCCTTCCTTGCTTCTAGTTTCACATCTTGAGCACATCTGCACTGGTTACTTTGGAAACATCTTCTGTGGAAGCCTGTCATAGAACTTGGAGAAAGAAAAATCTCATCCAGTTTTGCCAAGCATAATAAAGGGAATTTAATTGCACTAGATATTGCTGTGGGTTGTGCCTTTCAATAATGCTACGGTAGCATTAATGAATTTGTTGTAAAAGGAAATGACTTTGGGGCCCCAGAATTCTTTCAATATATTCTGTAGTAAATTTCTTATCTGGAGCTACAGGGGTGTCAGAGGTTAAGAGAACATAGTGCTCTTAGAGTGAACCCAAGTACTTATGTCAGCATCAACATTTGGTGGCTCACAACTACCTGTAACTCCAGGTTCAGGGGCTCTGTTACCCTTTCTGGGCATCTGCAGGCGTATTCACAGATGTGTACATATCCCTCCACATATACACATAATTTTAAAAAATTAAATAAATCTTAAAAACTCCTCTTATCTGTTGACATTTTCCAAACTTTATATTTTGCTTAATAGATTTGAAATATAGATGATTTCATCTGATGATTTCTGATTGTTCTGAAAGAATACAATATTCTATACTTGGGTTAAAAGTTTTCATCATAGACTATAAAATGTTCAGGCAGGAATCTTACAAACAATGTCTTTTAAGTATTAAATACTTAGTGAACTGTATTAAACACTTCACAATGACTAAATATAGCACCAAAGAACCAAGAACTTAGTGCCTGGTTTGGTTTAGATGTAGACTGTCCTCAGAAGCGTGAATGTGAACACTTTGTTCCCAGCTTGTGGTGAGGCTTTGATGGCTATGGAACATGTAGGAGAACCTGGAGGGCCTGCATTACCTACAGGAAGGGCACTGAGGGTTCATAGCCCAGCCCTAGCTTCCCATCCAAATCCTGTGCTTCCTGACCACTGGATATGACCAGCCAAATCGCTGCTGCTGCCCTGTGTTTCTCACCATGATGCACTGCTTCCCCCAAACCAGGAACCAATATAAACCTTTCTTCCCTTAAATTACTCCTGTCAAGCATTCTATTATACTGCAAGGTAACTAAGACAGTGACTTTTTCTGTACACATTGTCTGGAGGGGGGCAGTGCACCTATATTCTCTGATTCACAGGATTTTACTATGCAACCTTAATAGTTACCTCCCCTTTCTAAAATTCTAGATTTTTATGCAATCCTAGGTTGTAAACAACTATAGAATTTATTCATAATGTTAATAGATGAAACAGGTTTTTATTTTATGAAATGAAGAAAATATATACTTCCCAAAATAGGGGATTTTACAGAAGTAACTTTTCTGTTAAGATTTTGGAGAACAATATAAGTCAAGATGTTTCATAATGGGTCACCATGAATTTACCTGCCTCATCCTTGTGTGACTGGCCATGTGTTCAGAATGCCCTTGGGAGTGTTCACATAATACCTTCCAGGTCCTAAGAGAGTTTCACATCAAATTCTCTCAACTGCCCACTTGTTGGTAGGTTGGATTTCCAGCACAATTGCCTTATTTGTTTAAAATTAAGGCAATTGTCACTCTGCTCCCCATTGGCTTTCTCCTTCCCAACTCCCAGGAAGGTTTTTGCTGTCTTACTCCCTATTGCTAGTCAATTTATGAATGCTGTTTAACTATTCTCAGAGTTTGATCATTATGATCTTTTGTTGTCATTTTATAATTCAAAATAATCTATCCAAGATCTATTACACCCTAGGTAGTAAGTAATTACATCCTGTGATAAGATTTCAGAGTCTGCTTGTGCCTCCACTCTGAAATTTAGATTTAAATATAATAGTATGGTGATCACTGGACATGGACACTTTCTGTTTATTTATTTCTTCTCTTGCTTTTACCAGGATGTCACATTCCAGTGCGGATCCAACACCATGAAATTCAGTGATGGTTTGGACTATTTATGTTAATTGAGTTTCATTTGTTCATTGGACATATTTTAGTGCTGACTATATTCAAGGCACTGAGACAGCTTTTCTGCTGTAGATTGTGATTGCCTGAAACAGATCAGGCTTTGCTCTTAGAATGATGGGCATGGTGCTGATGATGCAACACACACTGAATAAATGTGCTTGCATATACACAGAATTGTGCACTAAGACACTGGGTTGTCGAGTGATATTCTTTAAAAGTTTTGAGTCTAAAGTGAAATGATTGATCTTGGTTACTTAATGGAGGACATTGTCATAGTGTTTATCTAGGAAGCCCCTGGCAAGTCCATGTGTTACCAACTTGGTCTTTGGCTGCCCAAAGGTGGTGGAACATTTTAGAGGTAGGACCTAATGGAGGCTTCAGATCATTCGGGGCATGTTACAGAAGATGACATCAGGACCCAAGGCCCTTCTTGTCTTCCTCTTGTCCATTC